GAGAGCTGTCTCTCCCCCTCTCCCTGTCTTTGGCCCACACACAGGCTGAAAACGCTGTGTCCAGTCAAGCTGTCTGTTGTGACCAAGAAGTCCTTCATCTCCCAGTGGTGGTCTGGGAAATGTGCCATCAGTAGTCAGTCACAGACTGTCATGTCTCTTCCTGGACCTGAGAAGTTTCTGCTGTTACTCAGCCTGTAACGAGAAAAGACAGCCAGGGATTGTTTTTTTTATATAGTGCAGTGCCATTCATAGATTGAGCAATAGGAACATTTTATATTCCGTGCAATAAGAAATCCTATTTTTCAAACAGCCAAACCCCTCAGAATAGATTATTTTCAACAGCTAAACAAAAGGAACAAAACATTATTGCGTCATCCAAGCTCAGTGAGGTCTGCTAGACGTCTTGGATTCTAACAATGACATTTCACCTCAGGCTCCAGCCAGGACCTTATCAGAGCCCAGCCAGCGAGATGGACCTTAAGGCCTCCTGACGTTCAGAGGAGTGATATGGAGTGGTGATAACGAGGCAACCTGCAGTGTGTCAGATAAGACGTGCAAGGAGATCACAGTCTTCCACTGAGCGCTCTGCCAGAGATGCCCATCAGTGACTTCAGAGTCAGTGATGAATACTAACTCACACATGTCAGAAGCAATTACACAGAAAGTATTCAGCGACTCACAGGATTACCAACATGTATTGCAAATACTCTTCTGAACTAAAAATGGAATGCATTGCAATCAAGGCATTAATAAATTGCAACTTTGCATTTGTCTCCAAAGAGCACGAAGCTCATTACGTATCGGCAGATCTGCCAGGGTCCCCTCAATGTGCAACGCCATTTATTTTTTATCGGCACATTCAAATATGAGATAAATTCCCCATAGCTGCTCTTTCTGTTGCTGCTGTGGATGTTCCTGCTGGAAGTCCCAATCAAAGAAAACCGACTTATTACGATCGCAATGTTTCTAAAGCGCAGAAAATAAGAGCGGGCTAAGAGATCACAAAACAGAGGTACGCCACGTCAAGCCATTGTAATAATGCACAACCTGGGGAATAATGTAATCATTTGGTTCTGATTCTGTCAGATCCACGTAACTAGCGACCGGTAGACATGTCACGTTTTCAAGCTAGAGACGTAGACTGCTTGAGGCGTTTTTATTAGAAGCTAAACTGATTCTTTCATTTCCTGCGATTGTGCGCATGCCGTGTGGGTCGCCTGGCTAAACATCGGCACCGCCCGGCCAAATAAAAGTTTGAAACCAATATACAGTACAAACCACTGTTCATCGATTATACGTAATCGGCATTAAAGCGCTTTGTTTTCCTTGTGGTTTCTCCTTTATTTCATTAAATGGGGGTATTGCAAACCCAACTTGTAGCCCTTCGGATTGCTGTCACTCTCCCGGCGACAGCGGCAGGAGCAGGGAGGAACTTCTCAGAGCTCGTGTTGCTTAAAACATACCTCAGGTCAAAAATCTAGGCAAATGGATTTATAGAACGTTTTTTTTATTATAAAACTTTCCCGTCTGCTCAGCCTTTCCAGGGTGTTACCTAGGGCCCCCAAAAAGATAGGGCCGGCCTGTATATCAGAGAGACCCACGTCTTCCAGCCACTGAATGAAGCAACTTGACTTTCAACTTCTTGTGAAAAAGTACTCCTGCTGAGGTGAAAAAATAACCGTGATCTCGTCTTCTCAGTAAACATGCTTATCTCCACCCTTTCTTTCCGTTTACAATACTGTGACATTTTTCTGCCCCCTCCTAGATAGCCCCCAGCTCCCACTCTCCCTCCAGGGAGGTGTGGGAGTTTTGTTTTTAAAGAAACCACCCTCAGCGTTTTCACCGAGTTGTAAGGGTCTCAGACACTGCAGTGCGGATCTTTCCTGCAGACCCACAGGGCGGGAATCTCTCTCTTACATGAGACAGGCCCCGGACGTCAATACTGACACCCAGCAGGCTCAGACAAAGGAAACGACAGTGAAGGAGGGAAGAGATCAGAGGACCCCCCTTGAATCGACTGTGATCAATTGTTTGAATCAGTAGCTTGCTAATTCTAGGCTAATTCTTCCCTAGACGAAAAACATCAATTAACAGACAAAATCAGTCAGACAGATTTCCTTCTGGTGCATTACAGAATTGGGGTTGTCCCTCCAGCAGGGAAATATCAATCTTTAATACATTCAGCAAAACAAAAGCTGAATTGCTTTATTTACTGTAATAATCTGCAGTTTTTTATCCTGTGACCAGCTGACCTATGACAAAGGAAAGATGGGATAAACAGAAACACAGCAGCCCACTGACCATTCCTCTGAGAGTGTGGTTCTTGTTCTTACAAACAGGGAGGAAAAGCATATTGAGAACTGGGGAAATGGTTTTACTGGTAGTTAACCTTCTTTGAGTGGGAGCCATTTATTATTAATAATCTATACTCGGGTAACTCAGGAAAAGTGGCCTGGATTCCTCCGAAATATCTGGATATCTGTTTACACCGTACTCATTTCCCAGTGGTTGTCGGTGAGCGCTTGTTTGACAGGTCACCGCGTCCTGCACTGCGGGGGCACGGCGGGGGTCTCCTCTTCTCCCGGTTGCCCTTGGTCACAGCAGCTTCCTGCCAGCAGGATGTGCCCACGCCCAGTGCGGCGCTGGCAGGGCCAGGAAGCGGCACACTGACCCAGCGCAGGGGCGCTGACTGGGAAGGAAACGACAGGCCGGCACACAGGTGGGGCAGACCTGCGCGGTGCAGACAATAAGAGAAACAGCCAGGCCGGCCCAGGTGTCTGCGATTCTGGAGGGGTTCGGCAGTCCACGACACAAAGGAAAGCCACGCCGTGATGGATCCACCACGGGCACCCATCCATCACGCAGAGGCCCCCCGCCCATGAAGAGAAAACGCCAGGCCTAAAGCTTGTGCACCCCGATGAACTCGTCTGCCTTCCCTCCTGCGCTTCACCGTTCATGGGTGCAGTCAAACACCCGCTTTCAGAAAGACGGGGTGTTTATTCACACTGGACACCTCGAGCGAGCTGTTACTGGCAGCACTGGCCTCTCAACGGAGGTTTCTACCCATCTGTGGAAGGTCAAGATTCGTGTTGAAATCAGGGTGACATGCTATTTTAGTCTTCAGTCTAGGCTAGGCTTCAGTCTTAAGTAGTACAGGAATATTTTTCCCCCTACTTGTACGATCAGTATACGACAAGAACACGTTGTTGGCAGTGGTAACAACTTGAGACATTATCGAAGGCCTGTGCACAGACGTCTATTTGAATTCACGGACAGAACAATGTGAAAAAACAGGACGGTCTCATGGGAACACACACAGACTATGGGCAGTGTGACTGGGGGAGTAGAACACAGATCGCCGCTCTTAAAAGCTTACAACTTCTTCATGAAGGGCTGAACGCCCAGCCTTGGTAGCTTTAGAAACGTGGGTTCAGATGGTTTTGCTGTTTCCTGCATTAAGAAAACAGCTCAGCGGGTTAGAGAGTTACAATTCTGGGCCTCAAAGTAAATGAATAAACACAGGTCATAAGAGCCATAACAGAGCAGGCCCCTCCCTGTACATCAACTTCAGCAAATGAATCACTGTTTGTTCTCAGAAACCCGTGTTCAGCTCTTTTTGTCCGTTTTATTTTCTTTAGAAAATGAGAAAAACTGAATAAAAACAACCAGAAAAATAAGACCACAAAAAAAGTCTGCAAAAAACGGCAAAATAAGTGATCTATTGCATCATTTTAAGATAGAAATAGAGTTCGAGTCATCTGTATGGACCACCGAATTTAAATGGAGCTCCGCATGTGTGACTCTTACCCAGCTTTGTGGGTTAAGAGTCCCACAACCCGACACTTCAGAAAAAACGCAGATCAGTCGAACGCAGAGTGGACCTTTGATTGTGGGTTCGAGCCCAGTAGCCGACTGAGACTTGCCTTACCCAGGGTAGGTAGGAAGAAATATAGCACGACAACATTAAAAAGGCAGCATAACACCTCAATACCTTGCAGATTTTTGATAATATCGTTGCATCCTGTAGGGCTCTGAAAGTCCGTTGTGACCACACCCTTGTCTCCGTTCTTCACTGAAAAGGGCTTACTGTGAAACTCTCTAGGATCAGATCTCTTACATGAAAGCTGGCAACACATACTGAACACCCCACCCTCTACCAAGGCTGGAAGACTGTGTGGAATCGTTTAATCCATAGTACTTTTGGCTTTTTAAGATACTGTATATTTCTGTTTATAGAACAATCTTGACAGTAAACCTCTATTGACTTTGGCAATGCAATTATTTATGGGTCATTATAATCAGCCATAGATCCTCAATCACCTCAATTTGGGGTATGCGGCAAAATGTGTCTGTCGTGCCCCCAGAGGCAGACTTCCTGCAGTAAATCTTTCACAGCAAGCGACGTTAGAAAATTATTTTACTGCCCTCTACTGGGGCCAGGACGTTACTGCGGCTCTCAAACAACCAGGAACATTCACGTATTAGCATATACGGTACAGGAATTTATGGAAACAAGATATCATTCATTAATCCAAAATACAGATTCGAGTTAAATGATAACCTTAATTTGAACATTTCATAGACTGTTTTAGTGCATTAAAATACAGTATATCACTCCTTTCTCCATGGAATTATAGGCAATACTGCTAACTCATCATATCCCAATTTTAAACTATCTACACTTTCACGCCTAGTTGCACTTCATATAGTGGTTTCCTAATGGCAGCTCATCGAGAACAGTGGGCAACTGCAGCGTCCTTCACTCTGGTCTTGAAGTAATTCTACCAAGTGTTTGGTATTCTGGCAGCTCTGGGAACAGGGTGTCGGGCCAGGAGGGGAGAGTATTGAGGGTGTCTTTAAGAGAATAAAGCTGGGGTTTATTCTAACTCCAGGCTATAACTATCGTTGGGACTGTGTGACTTTAGGACTAGACCGGGCTGGAATAATGCTGAAAACTGGCAGGGAAGGGAGGAAAAATAAATAAATCACCCGTTTCATTCTCAAGGTATCAAAATAGGCTTTATTTTTTGTAACCCTTGTCAAAAACATTTGAAAATTTTGCTTATAAATTTATTACAATACGGAGATCGCATGAATTATACAAAAGTTCACATTCGCCAAGCTGCGTCCTCAAGCGGTGACAAGCAGTTTCTTCCTGGCACAGACCCGTAGTGTTCGACCACATGCCAGCGAGTCTTGTCCGTGCTCAAGTGAGCCAAGCGCCGTGGATACCAACGCGCGTCACATTCAGGGAACTACACACCCACCCCTCCGGCTCTTACTCTGTAGCCTGCCATAGTCTGGGTATTAATGCTACAAGACTCCGAAAATACAGCTCTCAAGCTCGCGGGTGTGCGAAGGACATTCTGACTCAAAAGATTGGGGCAGAAGGCTCAGTCGCCTGAAACTCTCCTGTGGATTCTGGTGTTGTGAGGCAGAGAAGCGAAGACCCCTGCCAGGGTAGTTACTGTAGCACATCGGACCTGAAAGACCCCGATTCGAAACGGACACATTGGGAAACTCCCCTTTCCATGCGTTTGTACACGTCGAACTCATCAGCACGTGCTGGAACAATGGCTACCCGCCCACAGACGGCAGTACATCCCACTAAACGCCCGTTTCTGACAGTTTAAACTCCCTCCACAGTCACAGACCCGCCACCTGCAGCCCGTCGCGTAACGTAATGCTCCCAACAACGGCCTCAGCAAAACAAACATCTTGAAAGAGAGCTCGCCGCCACACGTGAAACCTTCGGGTTGGATTTACGGTTTTAATAGTGCGATGCGCTTCCTCATTTCACAGCGCAAAGGTCCAAACTGACAAGAGAAAAGATGCACTGACAGCACGAAGCCTGGCGATTTTGCATGGCTTATAATTAGTGAAAAGATCAGCCCACAGCCCTAACCCCTGCTCACTGTGCACCACCCTGGCATCCGCATTTCTGCGGATCAAACGTTTGAAGCAGCAGAACTTCTGAAGGGCTTTCATCATGATGACACAGGCTTGTGCTTGATCTACCACCGACTGGTCTCCAGTTTTAAAAAAAGACTTGAAAAACAGCTTCACTCAAGTGTAGCAAAAGATCACTGTACATCCTCCAGTGGGAAGAATGCAGCTGCAGGAAAAATGTTACAGTTCAGACTGTCTCCCCCTCCTTGACCCTTTGAAATTCGGAAAATGTCACAAACTGCTGAAGAGCACAGCACACTCCACTCTAGAGCAGTCCAAACCAAAGGCTCTCAAAACCCACATTTTAATATAAAGCCCTGGAAAGAACAGTAAGACACCATAATTATTCACTTTGTGGGACCCAATAACTTCTGACAGCTCATTGAAGAACTCATGGTATGATGCGTCTTCCTCTGCATTTTACATTTCAACAAGTCCGAAAGACTTTAAAACATAATTCTCAGCTTAGAGAGCAGGCTAGTTATCACTTTATCAGACATTAAACACATCCAGAGGGTTTATTATTTCTGGTGCAGATGTGAACAACCAGCTTTTCTGTTCAATGAATTTTCACATTGTGGAAAACCAGAGTACAAAACAATGAGTACTTGAGTTTTGTGGACCTTCTGACAGGGTCTTCCTGGTTGAGAGCTCTGCCCAAACCTGGGAGGCTATTAAAGAGAGGTAAGAAACCAGTGATTTTCTATTTATTATACAGCAATACGCAAGAGAACCAACCTAGCCTATAGTTACCCTCATTAAAAAATAAAATTCAAAAAGCACCAAATTTAAGACTGATCCTGGCATTTAGTGTTTGACAATCCTAGCTTGAGTCCATACAGCCCCCAGGTGGAGCATGAGATCCAGACCGCTGCAGCACCAACAGCAATTCTGGACTTCAAAATTCCTTGATGTCAACCAGTTCACATAAATAAAAAGGCAATAAATTAGTGCTTCTCATCAGCAAGATCTTAATGCAAATAATTCCAAATGGTTTAATAATGATTACTTAGACCTTAAAGCCGCAGATTTGGATACTATAGGTATTTTAGTTGACCAGATGACAAAACTCAACTGTGTATAGTGACATGTTCCAATTTCAGTAACTATCTAAAGCATTCTTATGCGGACATTGTCACTATGCATTCATTTATCAATTGCAGCAACGACTTCCTGTTTAAATGTTTAGGGAACATCTTTTTAAATATTTCCGGCTTCCAAAAGCTCCCACTTTGATCATGTGTGAGCAAATTGGTAGTTCATTAAGTCCAGTTATGTGCAAGACACAGTAAGAAAACTCAAGTGTTTAGTTTACAGGACATTTTCAAGATTTTGTAAACATGTTAGCAAAGTTCACAACCTTAAACTTTTAATTAAAAAAGTAGAAATCTTTGCCAAGATCTAAGCCAAAATAAAATGCATATTTAGTATCAGTATTCTGCATCAGTCATCCACTTGGTTTTTAAAAATGCATTCCTGATGTGCAGCATCATTTTTACTTTTTACCAGCTCCAGACACCTTTAGGCATCATTGTTATTTTAAAGCAATATCTGAGGCAGGGTTGCAAGTATTATTGTATAGTCAAACTATGGTTTCACATAGAGTTGCAAGAAAAAAAAATTGTCCATTTACGAAAACGTTTAAGAATCCCGACATCACTTCAGCCTCAATCGAAAATAGAGCAGTCAACGGCAGGACTCCGAGACCTCAATTTAACTTTCACACAAATTTTTTTTAAAAAAAGCATGCCAATCATAATCTCCCCCACAAGATATAAAAAAGAAGTACTTGTGTTTGCCAATTACTCTGGAGAACCGGATTTAGAATCCCTTGTTGAAGAGCGCGGTGCTTTCTTGTGTTTCCTCGTCTTTCCTAGAGAGTCCAGCAGATCAGGTGACCCTTCTTCCTCCTCATCCTGAGTCCTGGCCTGAGAGCCACTGTTTTCCATAAACATGTTGGGGATGTCTTGGCCAAAGTAAATCTTACTGTTCGCCGCAATCGCCTGGTACTTCATAAGCTCCAGGTATTCTGGTGTCAACTTCATCTGCACAGAGAGAAGAGGTGGATAGAAGTCAGGAGAAAAGTCAAACACCGTACAACATATCCAGGTTCATTCACTACCCCGACACACACACACGCACAAAAAGATATTCAGATCTAACAGCTCTGCGGGGTTCACCTTCAGAATTTTGAGCTCCATCATCTGTAGTATCCCCAAACCTTAACTTCCCCTCCTAGTTTTCTTGTCTTTTTCACGGCTCACAGACCTTTAAACCGATACTTTACTGCCCCCTAGCTCACCAGACGGTTTTCTGATCCCCCCCAACAGTGGTGGCACTGCGTGTTCTGCTTCAATTCACCCCTAGTTTAAAACCCAGTGGCAATGAAGCCCCCTTGCAGGAGCTTCTATTCACTTCCTATACTCTGGATTCCTTTTTGTCACACTACACAAATGTTAGAAAAATCTTTGCAGCTTTGCAGGCTACGGTAAAAAACGTAACCGGCTGCAGTCCTTCAGGACCGGAGCTGCTGGGAGGATCTGTCCATCTTCTCCTCTCCCGATGGAGGTGAAAGAACCACAGGCTGCAGTTCATGCCGTGCTATATGGAAGATTACCCTGTTGGCTTCAGCAAATTTCGCAGCCGTGTAGTACTCGGCATCCGCTCTGGTGCGCTCTCTGGCCAGGAACGCTGCATCTGTAACCCAACAGAAAATATGACACCAGCCGCCAGCACTGGGAGGTCCGCTGACAAAGAGTGCAGGCGTGACAGGTGAAAGGAACTGAACCCTTTTCCAAGTCTTGAAGAGAAAAGGCTGTGAGGGGGATCTGATCTGATCTGATCTGATCCAAGAATTCACAATACCCCAAGAAACGGAGCAAGTGCCTCTCAGCGTGGGGAGCCTGGCACAAGCTGCCCAGCCATGTTGTCCAAACTGAAACCCCGGCTTCTTTCAAGACCCTCGGATCAATTAGCTACTAACTACCAGACAAGCGGGAATGCCTGGCATCTTCCCCTCATTTGTAATCTTTCTGAGGTTCCTAAAAACACTAATACAGGCAATACAAGGCATCTTCTCATCAGACTGACTGCCACTGACTGAGGAACTTTTCTCTTCTCTCGTTGCAAAATTCCGGGATTCCACAACACGCACTGCTGCAGCGCTCCTTACCGAAAGCCCCGAAAAACCGAGAACGGCAAGCAGCCAGGCGGTACCTTCGATTTCAGAGATCTTTTTCTCCGTCTCCTTCTCCATCACCTTCTGCCTGAAGTGAATTTCAGCCACTTGAGCGACCTTCTGCGCCTCTGAACAGAAGAGCAACAAAACAGCAGTCAGGACCACAGGGATATGGGCACCAGGAAGAAATACGGACATAATCCAAGTCAAAGAAGTTGTAAAACAGTTACAACACGCATTTAAAAGCAGTTTAAATCTGACAGTTGTTTTGAACAAGGGCTCCAAATCATGGAACTGGTGACCCACACACCTGTTCCTCCAGAGCGCTCACTTAAATTGGGGGGGAAAAAAAAAACTATATTCATTTTAACTCTATTTATACCGCCAAACCTCTGAACAGAAAACTAGAAATAAGATTTGCTAGAGCTCCAAGAGCTGAGCTGCAGTGGACACCTGCGCTTTAGAGGGACAATATGAAAGCCGTTTTTCTCTTTACCTATTATGGCTTTTTTCCTTTCAGTCTCTGCTTCCTTCTCCACGACCTTCTGCGTCTGAGCAGTGATGAGCAGCCTGGTCTTCTCTGCCTCCCTGGGGAGGGAATGAGAATCGGAGATGATGAACATGGCAAACGGCCGACCCGCTCCCACGTCACGAGCCAGAGCTCGCCCGCCTCAGACCGACAGAGCATAGTCACAGAGCCCGCGGAGCCACTCGGGCGGTAAAGGCATGTGTCCAGTGGCTGACTGGGCCCTATGGCCCGGGAGCCTAGATCACGTCACTAGCTGACTGTGACTGAGTCTCCCCAAGCAGCAGAGCACTGTTGTCTGAGCCCCTTACACAACTCGGGATTGGGGTTAACCAACCAGGGCTCTCGGTTCTCAGTGACACAGCGCCCCCCACCCCGTGGCCTTCAGCTGTGTTGGTTTTCAGACATAGGGGCCTGCAAGATGGGTGGGGCCGGGAAGCCCCTCTGTGTAGCCTCAGTGTTCGCAGCTAAGAGCCAAGCCATGAAAAACACACAGCGGTCTGCACAACAACAGCCGATTCTTAACGTGGGGGAAAAAAACTGCATACTCATGGAAGAAAGACTTACTACTTACATTAGTTCAAAATTTCTCCTGATGGCTTCTGGGATTTTGGGCTTCGTAACACGAACTGCCTGGATACAGGAAAAAAATGGCAGGAAAAACCTGTAACGGATTTTCACTCACTGAACCTTCACAAATACTGAATACACAAAGGTCTTGTATCAGCCTTGCATCTATGTTTCAGAGGACACAAGTGGAAATTACAGTGAAGCGTATTTAAAACGGAGACCAATGAGTACTTATCAAGCTAGAGGGTTGTGGGATTGTGGAACAAGCTGCCCAGCCATGTTTGTTGGAGCAAATACTCTGTGTCTTTTTTTAAGAAATGGTAGGATGAGATCCTCAGATGTATTAGATCTTGTAAACTTTGTTATGCTCTTATCATGCGTTGGTGGCTTCAAAGCACTGCTCAATGCATCCTTTTTACCAGTTTCACACTGTGTCCCTTTCCTTCTTTTGTATCTGCACAGTGGCTACGGAGAAAAGTAGATGTTTTGTTAACGCTACAGAACTGGGCTCTGAATCCTGACCTTACCTGAATTGTGAGACCAGGAGCCATGACATTAAGTTCTTTCTGCAGGGACAGCTTGAGGTTTTCATCAATTATATCTATCAAACAAAATGCACACATGGCAGCACATGGAAAAATGTTAATGACAATGCAACACTGCCAGAGAGAAACAGTACAGCTGTTCCTTCAATGCTTCATCCAGATTCTTCCTGTTAAAGCACTGGAATACAGCAGACTCTTAATCAACAGCCTGAAAGACATCTCCCAGCGCAGAATCAAGGGGAAAGATGACTATTATAAACTGTGACATAAAACCAATTAACACATTTGCAGTATACCTTCATACTTACCAAATAATTCGATATACACTTCCTGGAGAGTGTGGACGCTGCAAAACTGATTCAGCTCATGATGGATCTTGTTAAAAATCAGTGTTTTGTCGTAATCCGCAGTGTAGTTCCTCACAATATCAACCGCTTCAACAGAGAAAACACAGATGAAAGGTGAGCAGTGCAAACAAGCCACTCTGATCGAGGTGTTTCACAGAGCCAGGTTTAATGGTGCTTACCTGCAGACGGAACCAGCATGTTGACAACTTCAATTCGGTCAAAGTAGATCATCACTCCCCCACTGTTGAAATGAAAAAAAAACCCCAACAGAATTAGTTTTTACATTACTTAGATCTATAAAGAAATCCTTAATGATCTTCAAACATTAAGCAAAATCAACCACCCATTTGACACTACAAAACATTAAAAAAACCTTTAAATTCACACCATAGGTCTAAATCAGATTTGATAAAGAGGTTTAAAAGGGCAGCAGCACACTGTCCAGATACTGGGAGAGAGAAGTCTGAGAATGCAGCATTTAGTATTGGTGTGAACGAAATTGCACTTGGTACCAATAATGCAATAATTATAATAATTTAAGTTGGTTCATCTGGTCTTACAAGCTATTGGGCGACTTTAAAAGAAACAACGATTCAATAAAACGTTACAAAAGTGAACTCTTTCAGTAATAAATATATTTACAAAACAAATATTCTATAATTCAAACCTGAAATACCAACACTTTAGGGTAATACTACTGTACCTTGTTCCACAAGGCACATTTTTTATTTCATCAGTCTGCAGTGTGGTCTGCAAAACAAAACCAACATTAACAATGAGCTTTTACATTAAAGAAACATTTGCCTGGAGTAGCTAACCTCCTACAATGATGAACTGATATTTTGGAACAATTCCAATTGTTACCTTAGCTATTTTTAACATCCAAATGTATTACTGTAGAGCACAAAATTTCTAAACAGTTCCTAAACTTCCATAGAGCTTGAACAAAGCTTTGGTAAACCCGTTAAAATTTTGCCTGTGCTGTTATTTTTGCATTTTTAATGAAACAATTATCTTTCCTCACATATTTCCTGTTGTTTTCCTCTCTGCTCAAAGATCCCTGGAAAGAGGAGGATCACTAGGAAGTGGCTAAAATATTCTGGATGCAAATTAAGAAATACTCAGTCATAACAAACTCCTCCTCAGAAAACCAGTTTCAACACATTTACAAAAAACAAAAGGGCTCATGGCTATTTAGTAAGAAAGGCAGCTTCCGATCTAAAACGGGCTGAAAGAATAAACAACCTCAAGTGGACATACTATACAAATCAGAACTGAATATACATCTGGATGCAGAAAAGCTGCCTTTCAGCCCAGCCCCCAGCCACACTTCTTAAAGGCAAACTGCACTCCGAATTACTCAGACCAGTTATTAAAATCTCTGTAACACAATAAATTAACTGACGGCATCGCAACATTTTTTTATAAATTTCGAATTAAGTACAAAATAGCGAACTTTGTGAAAGTACTGAATAGTTGACAATTTGTCTCAAACCCCTGGTCTCGCCACAGGTGGGGCCGAGAGTTTGCTCGAACTGCGATTTGAAGCAGCCCTTCCTGCTCACTAGTCACTGGAATGACTAATGTGATGTACAAGCAAATATGTGCAGGTTGTGCAGCAGACATTTCACTACAGACATGTTCCAGTGTGATTTGCATGGAGAGTTAACTAGTAAGTTCCATTTAATTGGCAATACCCTCTAAAAATCGAGAGCAATATTTCTACTGGATTAAAGGAGACGTATTCACAATTCTACTTGTTTAATTTCACAGGGCTGCTTCACCTCACTGGAGGTTTGATTGCCTCTTTCTGAATCGCAGACAATGACATCAATACGGCGCTGTGCATACCTGGAAATTTCAGCTACTTTGTGATGTCAATTGGAGGTTTTATAAGTTATTGTGTACATTTTACTCTCACGGTGGTTTGAAATCCACTCATCAATGCTGATTCTTTCTACTAAGCCGGACATTTAAAAAGAGAGTTGCAGTTCCCCTTTATTAGTGTGACTTAAGGGCAGGAGCTCTGCCTTTAAGATGGTTGAACTAAATTTACAAGCTACCGGGTGACTTTAAAAAACAACGATGCGGTAAAACTTTACGAAGAGGGACCTCTGTGCGCCCGTGGGAGTGGCTCTAGGACCACAGCGAGAGCACAGCTGGGCTGCGTGACTCAGTTCGGCAGCAGCGGCGGGTCCACAGGGGACAGCTGTCACTGCCGGCAGGACCCTCCCGCCGTTTCCCTTCATCCTCCGGCAAACAACTCCGAGGCCGCTCCGCCTTCGGTCACCGCCGGTCGCTGTGCGTCACACGCGTTCGCCGAGACAAACGTTTCCCTGAGATTCCTCCTCCCTCCCTCCCCCAGGCCTACAGTGAGCCCCCGAGGGGGCGCTGTAGCAGCAGGGGAGTCACAGGCCGGCGAGGAACTGACCTGCACGCTCCGGAACGTCGTGATGAACGGCAGCATGATGTGATAGCCAGGACCGTTGGGGACCGTCAGCAGGGCCCCACCTCTGAAACAGAGACCGCAAGCGAAACGTCTCCGTCACCAGCCTTCATGGAGCAACGGCTCCTCCGGTGTCTGCTCTCAGAGGTTTAAGTTAGAGGTGATTTTAAAACGCACAAAGCCCTTTATTTCACGTGAGCTTCTAAGCGGGCGGAGCGGTGGCTCTGTGGCTCAGGATCTGCGCCTGTGGCTGGAAGGTTGCCGGTTCAAATCCCACAGCCGGCAGAGGAATGAATCCTACTTCATTGGGCCCCTGAGCAAGGCCCTTAACCCCAACTGCTTCAGGGGCGCCGTACAATGGCCGACTCTGCACTCTGACCTCAAAGCTTCTCTCCCTGTCTGTGTGTCTGTGTCTCATGGAGAGCAAGCTGGGGTATGCAAAAAGACGAATTCCTAATGCAAAAAATTGTATATGGCCAATAAAGTGATTTTAATCTTAATCTGACATCGCTTACAGGCGGGGCTTTGGGGCGAAATCAGAAAGCGGGACCGAATGGGTTAAGGAAAATCGGTAAATGTCGGCGGAGCTCACAAACAGCAAAGCCACCCCAGAACATACCCACAGGGCTGTTTCCACTGTGAATGAGGAACACCGTAAACACAAGTCACAAGACCGACATCTAATTTCTTCACAGGTTCAATTTCTTTATAAGAAAACACAACTGAAGCTTTAGAAGACTAAAGGGAAAGTGCACACACCTTGAATGAACCTCAACCACACCAGGGATGCTCAGGGCAAGGCCCCTGCGAGGCCAACAGCCTGCTTCAGGAAAGGATGTTGAAACAAACGCTGAATCTCCTTCACACTGTAACGCCAGATCACACTTCCCTATAAAAGAGAAGTGCTTCGTGCACAAACGCTCGCCTATACCCGTCTTTTTTTCGTAAAAATATTTGCATGGGTGTTGTTTATCTTTTCTCATTCCTTTTTGCATACTGCCGTCGGACACGTGCGATCCAGCGCACCACACGTTTCCTTCCAGCTCGCGTCACTGGGGAGGCTGAAACGGCGGGCCGAGACACGGGACGTACCTGTAGTACACAGCCAGGTGTCCCTCTTCGATCTTGTGGATAGAGGAGTGCAGCAGGACAGCCAGCACGCCCGTCACAGCAGCGACTACAGCCCCGACATGTGCCATCGCCATCCCCGCTCCCGCCACGATCTGGGCAGGGACACAGAGCAGACGCGTTGCACTGCAAAGCCTTTCACAAGTCTCCCTCTCTCTCTCTCTCTCTCTCTCTCTCGACTGTGCCTTGTGACAAACGTAGAAGGCAGTGTTACCTGTGTGAAATACTGAAGACGTCGTGTGGGGAAATGTGAACAAGAGAGCATGAGCTGGCAAGCACCAACTTCAATGTGCATTTTTTCAAAATGAAATAGGGGAGGTTAACATATTGAGTTAAGTTAGGGGTAAACCTGGCTGTTTCCAGGTTTAATAATGTTGTGACATAAAGGGGTTCCCAAAGACACCAAAGTGAAGTCCATCATATCCTTAACTGAAACTAACAACTTACTCCCCCTAATCTCTACAGCTTGAGTAAGAAATTAATTCCTGCTTGTCTTCACATCTTAAACAACACATTTAAGACAGGAGATTACAGTAAAGCAGAACTCTGTGGATGGAATAATACATGTCCTGAAGCCAGCTTAAATGTGCTCAATTTGAAGAAGTAAAACTGATTGCACTTTAAATACCGGGAAGGTTGAGGACCAACACATACCCTAAAGAGCTGACAGTGTGATCAAGAGTGATAAAAACACTCTTGCCAAGTATTTACGTATAAAGACCGCATAAACCAGGCTTAAGCTAGACTGTTTAAGCATGCTTAATTAAAACATTGATAAAATGAGAGAGGAATTCAGTAATACTACACTTGGGCCAGGTCTCTATAAGTCCTTAAGAGTGATTTTCTTTTTACACAGCTCATAGAAGGTACCACCTACCTTAACCAAGATGTTCAAGAGTCATAGCGGCAGCCTTGGGTACAATAACTGCTCAGAAGTAGAACATGTATATACAGTACTGTGACACATTTCATTTCAGAACAGTGTGAGACAGCTGATCCCTTCCACCCAGCCCACAGCTGTGACACATTCCACAGCAAGAAGCAGGTGTCCCCAGAGCAGGCTAGGCTGTGCTGTGGGTTCAGCTGCAGTCACGCCCCCTGATAACTGACAAGCCCACGAAACCAAGATCCACATGTACTGCAAATGATGTCTTATACCAACACCGAGAATGCACAACCTAGTGAGTTCACACAGTGCATCACAAACACCCACTGAATCTCCAGGTTGAGCAGTATGTTACTGCATCTATACAGGCATAAGAAACAAGACAGGTTTCAGATCTGTAAAGTGCATCAAAAGCATAGGGTGGCTGAACTTCAGCTTTTCAGACTGACTCAAATACCACCTTTGGAACTCAACACTAAATGAAATGTGTGAAAATGAAATGAAATGTGAAGAGAGAATATTGCACAGGTACTCGGAACAAATATTCGAAATCCTCAAAGTCCCAGCGGAATTCTCCAGACTTATCAGTGAAAACCTATCCATCCCTTTGAAGTTGAATTCCTTTTTTTATTTAAATTCTATTAGAAATTTAAATAATCAAAAGGCAAGGCATACAATGGAAATATGTAAAAAGTATAATTTTAAGTTTTTACAATTGTGAATTCTTCTGGCTTTTAAGTGTTTATTTCTGTATCTTTTTCATTATGGTGTTTAAATAAGAACTTGTTTTTAAAAAAAAAACGTATCAGTAAAAAGCTAACCACTGGATTCAAGTAGAAACTATGGGGAAGTGCAATATAACTGAGAACAGAAGCGCTTTTTCACACAGAAGCCTGGTGTGGGAGTATGGCTTCTCTCAAGAAACAGACGAAACTCTCCATTCTGTCCGGGAAAAATCTCACATTCTTTTAGCAAACACAAACTGGGCCTCTTCAGATTTGCCGTCCTTGAACTAAACCTTTGTTTTGGTTGCTCTTTCCAAGTATAACAACCTTGCTTAAGCCCATCCAGTGGATTACCCTGCCTTCCTCGTCTCCCGTGAGCAAACACCGTGCTCTTGCGCCTCAAATCCACAAGGAGCACACATGAACTCAGTTTAGCCTAGATGTGTTCCTAATGTTCTTGTCTGCTCCTTTTTTTTAAATATAAAGGCACTTTCAGATGTATATTTAACTTTCAGTTTATAGTTTGAGGTAATGCTCAAAAGCAACTTCAGGCGCTCTAACGATTTACTGTCAGTGTAAAACGTGATCTTTAGTCGGAGGGAATGACGTTAAACTGGAAATCGTGTCCAACATGATTTTTTTTGCTTGCCGTATAGTACATGTTCGTTTTCGTGAAGGGCTACTTAAATCGATACCTCCTGCACAATTCCAGTTTTATGGAGACAAATATACACATTCAGAAACGGAGAAAAAACACGAGTTACAACATGACCGGATCTTTCCCACAAGCCACAGTGGCTTATCGCCCCAGGATCTTGCTACTGTCTGCAGTAACAAGACCGCCACTCCGGACTCGGGACTAGCGGCCACAAGCACGAACGCCGCCCCTCTGCCCGTGTCCGTGTCCGTTCCTCGATTAAACCCGCAACACGTTATTTCAGCGAAGTTTTTCGATGCAATCGAGCTCTCCAACTCCCGAGCCCACGAACCAGTGCGGATTCAGCCAGTTGCACGGCGTGTAGCAAACAGGGAGGAAAAAAAAAAACTCCATGACGGATTACCATAATGAGTAATGGATTGCACACGTTAAATTAATTAAAAAAAAATCCCAATGCACTCTGCTCACCAAGCTTTCAAACAGTCTCTTCTGACAAGTCGGTTATGAGCGAAATCCTCCCTGTCCATCCCCCCCGCAGGACTCACTGCAGCAATGGACTCGACTCGCAGCTCCAGCGCCGCTTCTCTTCCGGGTGAAGAGTGCACCGCCCGTTAAAGGGGAGGGGAGAGGCCGGCCTGCCTGCCTGCCTTTGCAAGTATGCCGACGGATTTTGCGCTTAACCAGGTCTTACCGATTTTCGGTGACTCAACAGCTGTCAAATGGTACGGGTGATTGATTGCTCGACGGTTGGCATTTCGTGACCTAATCGCACTCCGAACCGAACACCCGTTTTTGAAACGGGATGAGGGCAAAACATCTGCGGGTTAGCGCCCGGGAAAAATAAAAGTCCCCCCCCCAGGAGTGTTTCTGGAAGACAATGCCTTTAAATCGGAAGATATTAGTTCATCGAGAAAAGGTGAAGGTACAACGCCAAGAGCAGCGAGATAAGCGCAGAGCGGTATTTGTCTTGGCACGGATTTAAAAAAAAAAAGTTCACACAGGGACGTATTTCACCGAACTACATGTGCAGGAGGGGCTGGTTCTGAATGTGTAGGTTTCCGGAAAATGATTTACTAAAGGTAACAGAAAAGATGTCACAGCAAAACAGAAATGACTTCTGTGAAGATGCAAGAACGGGCAGGCAACCCATCTGCCTTGCGCGTTTGTGTTCGCCCGGAGGCAGGTTCCCCGGGAATGTGTGTGTGGAAGGGTATCGGCAAACCAGCCGGTGTCTGTGCCCAGGGACTGTAGAACTGGGGGTTGCATGTAAGCTGTGAGACAGCGGATCCAAATATGAATTTGGCGGAAGGCTTTTAGTAGGTATAAAACTTCACTTGACCGGAAGGGGAAAAAATGCAGTTCAACATCACAGCATGCAGTAGTAAATCTTTTCATAAAAGTAAATAATAATTCTGAGCACTAAAACCCAAATCAACACATTACAGGTGCAATTGTGGTATTACATATTTAATTAATCACAATAATATGCATTTTTACACATTTACAATCAAACTGGTGTACACACTTTCAAAACTGTACAATTCCATCATTTAACAATTCCCAAACAGTATAAAATTACATGTTACACATTATCAGGTGTGTAGCTCTTCAAAGCAAAGCAGCATAAATTCATCTAAAAGATGCATCTTATGGACTAATAACAAAAAAAACGTCCATTGCATTACAATAAGAAACTATTTTTACAACTGCAAATTTCCTTTCAAAGAGCAAACTCCACTTCCATGTCCTTTTCAGTAGCAAATATGTAGAAATATTAAAAGTAACTGAAGTTGCTTTGTAAATCTTGCAGCTTATGACTCCAAAACTTGAAGTCTGTGAAAATATGTACTTGGTCTTGACAGCTCTCCTGGAGTTGAACCGTTTTGAATTCTGGGTGGCACTGCTTCATTTATGGTTATAGTAAGGCTTCACAACTGCTGTTTGACAATGGAACAAACAGAAAACACTGTTCACAGGCATTTCAGCAAGCACAAGAGAGATCTGTGAGCTCACAATTACAGGACACATGTCAGAGGTAACATAACCCTGCAATGGTGGAGCTCCCCCAGTGGCAGGACCTGAAACAGTCTTGAAATGGCCCGGGCATTTAACAGGCAGACTGTTCTGAACTGTGAGGATTAAGGTAAGGTTTCAGATACCACAGTGAAATCTGACCATTGATTAAAACTACCAGTATTATCAATTTATCATCATGTCTGCTAGCTGTATCCTTGAGAAAGGCAATTCACTCAGATTGCTGCAGTAAAAGGCCCAGCAGTGTAAACAGGAATGAATATAAGTCACTTTTTAAAAATGTCAAATAAATTAATACAACTAATGATGATGTGTCTTATGAGAAAAAATGGCCTTTAAAAGTGGAAGAATAAAAGAAAAAATAATTATCTACAAATTCTTTCCCCTTGAATTTTACAGAACGGCACATTAAAGTCCGGTTTCTCATGAATGCTCATCTTCTAAATACTGCAAGTTAACATTTTCCCTTACCCAGTTTCAAACTGAAAATCTTACAAAATCAGTTTTCTGTCAAATTCTGTTTACGTAGTAGACGAATTCCTCAACACTAACACTGCAATAAGATTATATAAAGATTTGTCAGCTGTGCAGTTCTATACAGGTGTAAAGAAAAACCTTTACTTCTGTCTGAAGGACTGTTTTAAGACAGTTCTGACAGTCATTCCATAGAAGGACTATATGAAGCAAACTACTACTTAGAAATCAGACCAATAAATAAGTATTCAATTGCAATTTTAAAAGCTGTATGTGCACACAATTATATGCGACTACAAACGTCTACTTTAACATTCCCTGAAGAGAAAGTCATGTACTGCCTAAATCCACTTTTGACTTATAAAAGCAGTCAGAGATACAAACAAGCCTAGAAACAGATCTGAAAAAACTACTACAGACAGTAAAGAAATTATAGTTATATGTGGGGTAATAAAATACTCCAGTGACTATTCCACTGGTAAAGACACATCCTCCACTTAAGTTCACAGTGAACTTTTAAAGTGCATTTTCAGATCATGAAAAATTTCACTGTTTAATACGATACTACAGCATTATTCCTCCCCACCCCCACCAACACCAATTGAAGCGGCCCACAAAAATCAGATTCTGTTAATTCTGTAAATTTTGATAAGTGTCCTACTATTTTCTAAAAAGGAACCATGAGAAAATGCACAAGGTAGCAAGGAGAAAAGTTTTTTTTGCATTACGTGCTTATATTTATTCCGTCCTTCATAGTGGTTCGGTTCAGAAACGAAAATGCACAGAGTACACGATGTCAGATCACATCTTCAGCTTGGAAGAAGAATTTTCTGACACCTCTTTGTGCAAGCAGACTTCAGGCAAACGCTTGGGGAGATAAAGCCCATTACTGACGATGTACTGCGCACTGCTCTTTTCTGCTGCACCTCATCAGAACGCACGTTCAAGCGTCCACAAAGGAACATCATCTTGCTTCAAAACAACCGAGAGACTGGGAAGCTCATGCCTGAAATAAACTATGCTCTGATAACAAGGGGGAAGTGCTGGTAAACAGATTTCAAAACAAATACCATTAGTGTTAACAGATGAGGAAGTCAGAACATTTGTCTGAAAGCCACACTGCTGCAAAAGTTTACATTTTCGTCCTTTTCATGGACAGAGCTTCATATTTTGTCCAGCTCCAATCTTGATCCTAAAATAATAAAAAAAACAATTTAAGAAAAAGGAAATCTCCACTCCTTAGGTTTTAAATTAAGGTTAAAGAATTGTTACAGACAACCCTGGCACTCCAAAGTCCAACTGAAAATACTGTATTATAGCCTTCACCCACCAAAAAAGTTACACTTGTTTCTGTTACCATTTGAATACCCTGTTTTTCTAGGCACGACTTCTGCCCTGCAGCTCTGCAAAGAGCCAATGTGGAGAAAGAATGTGATGCACAGTAGGCTGAGCACTCTGTATTTGTAAGACATGTTCTAGAGCTTGTTTGTGCATCTAAAATCATTCACAGCTTCCTGCTGAAACAAAAACAAAGTCAATGTATACATCAAACAAAACAGGAACATAAGAAATACTAAGTACAGTAATCCCTCACTATATGAGCAACCACTATATGGGTTTTTGTTACAAAAGGTGTAGTAAATCCTACCTGTTTTTTTCAATTAACAAGATTCTTCTGTTCACTTACTTTTTTTAATTTTTAATTACATATTAACTTTTATAATAAATGCTTATGTGCTTTAAGTATTGTTAACGCCAGCAGCCATGTCACCCTGCAACTTAAAATTGGCAGCACACTGAAGCTCAGCAGGTGTGAGCCTGGTCAGTACCTGGATGGGAGACCTCCTGGGAAAAACTAAGGTTGCTGCTGGAAGAGGTGTCAGTGAGGCCAGCAGGGGGGGCTCACCCTGCGGTCCATGTGGGTCCTAATGCCCCTGTATAGTGACGGGGACACTATACTGTAAAATAAGCGCTGTCTTTCGGATGAGACATAAAACAGGTTCTGACTCTCTGTGGTCATTAAAAATCCCAGGGTGTTTCTCGAAAAGAGTAGGGGTGTAACCCCGGCGTCCTGGCCAAATGTCATATTCCCCCTAATAATCCCCCTCTATGAATTGGCTACAATACTTTGTTCTCCTCCCCCCCCCCACACTTCGAGGGCAGGCAGAGCGACGCGCCGGTTGGAGTATTCTTGGTCGCATTTAATGGCAACGTCAGCTCAAAGATTTGGTTCAAACCACCAAATTGAGATGGGCGTGCTGACAAGCAGACCCTGCTGATGCGGGATTAACGCTAGGATGAGAGAGTGTGCTTTAAGTATTGTTACAGCTTTGGGTGACCGAGAAATGTCTCTTAGATTTTAGATAAAGTTTGACACTGGGAAGAGTAAACACTTCTAGCTTCAAAGCAGAGAGGATGCTTGCTGAGGTCTGGGGGTCCCTTGAACAGAAACAATAGTACAGTTGATCTTAGTATGCCTAGGCCAGTTGTGGTTTAATGACTGCAAAGGAGCATGGCAGAAAGACACAGTATAAGAACACAATAAGATCACCAAGAGGGAGGAAGAAGGAAGAAACAAGTAGAGCAGGGAGAAGAGGGAGGAGTCTGGAAGATTTGGGACTTGAAGCTTGCACCAGGCGAGAGCCCCTTCTTCTTGATCATCCAAATCAAACCTGACTGGGTCTAAGTCAGTCTAAGTCACTTAGTCTTCAAACCTTGTTAGAGATTTTCATCAGTTTTCTAAACCCCCATCTGTAACAGTATATATTAAAGTACTGAATAGTACCTAATGCATCTGCTACTAACTGTAAAGATGTAACTACTGTACTATATATATGTACTATACATAAATAATGTAAGTGTTATTATTTTTCTACCCATTTTATTTATGCACTGGTCAATGACTTAAGCATGTTACATGAATAACTAACCAAAAATATTAGTTTTCATAGTATGGTACTGTCCTGTGCAGTACTAGGGTGAAATTTGGACATCTGAGTGAACATTTTGGGGTTCCGAAACCAATCACAGATTATAACACTTCCATTATAGGAGTTTTCACTCTACAAGACATTTTCGAGGAACAAATAAAGCTTGTATAAAGAGGTATTCCTGTACTTTTTTTTTTTTTACTGTTGGTGTTGGAAGATTATGCTACAGGACCTTTTAAGGATAACATTGCCAAAACAAGGAAGTAGAACCTGTAAGATCATACAAGTCATATTTCACACTTCATTTATTTCATTCTTAGTCACCTTCCCAGTTCATTATGAGAAGAAAGTAAAAGCAAAGTTCAGATAATAATAGTACCTTATGTTTTGAAAATAATCCCAGCCTGAACGTGCTCAGACATGGTCTTTTCCTTGTATGTGAACATACTTGTGGACCAAATCAATGTATTGGAAATTCTTGTCCTACTACAAATGGACCAGTTCTCCCTGCCACCTGGACTCACCATTATACTTTTCACTTGCTCCTCAGTGGTTTCCTGCATCAGGCTCGTCAGCTGGCTAAGATACATCTGATTCTCTTCTAGTAAGCGAGGCACTGAGTCACTGTTGGAGACAGAAGACAGGATATTATCTGTGACTGTGTATTCACAAGGCACAGAAGATCTGGGGTTCGCTGCAAAATATGCGAACAAAACGGAATAAGCATTTTCTTTCCTCAACTTATAAATCTACAGCATGTTTCTCTCTTTTCCAAGTTCTGCACCTGTCATTTGGTCCATGTAAGGATGTGAGTGGATTTGGTGAACTGATGGGCTGCCCATGCTGTGTCCATGCTGAGACCCGTGGCGAGCTGGACGCCTCCAGACTTGGATTTATAAGGGTTCGCGATGAATTCTGAGCCTGAGAACACACCAGCAATAAACAACAAAGAGCAACATTTACATATTCTCCCACATCTGTTCTTCTGCCTTTTAATTACTGTATGTTTGATACAATTTCTCCTATTAGTTTACATGCACACATTATATGGTATCAATAAAATATCACAGATTATTTATTCACACTAAATTATAATAAATTCAAAATGTTTTATTCATTCTTAAAATGCAACTCGAATCTTTACAACTCAGTACTATACATAACAATTAGACAAGAAGAACAAGGTGCCTCCTTCAAAACAAAATGGAATCAGAACTTTTATCATTTTTATTATTCCTTTCATCAGCATCAGCTAAAACAAGCACATCAGCCTCCAAGACACTGCAGACCTTACCAGAAGTTGCTCCCACCTAGTGGGAGTTCAAGAAGGGTTAAAAGAGGTGACTTACACAAGCAATCTTCAGCAAATGCCAGAATTCTCTCTGTCTCTTCATCTGCATCTGCATCACCATGTTGTCAGCTTCCTTAATGTTCTCAAGGGCTTTCTCAATCTTTGGGAACAAATCGATTATCTTCTGCTTGCTAGATAAGATCTTGCTGCAAAGGAGAAAATTTACGAAGCATGTGTTTAACATGGAGAGAACCAAACTGCTTCTTCTTCTCATTTGACAATTTTCAGGCAATCTTTCTGAGATGTTAACATCAAAACATCCACTTAGTTGTTTGTGTAAATCTGGTGTTTAAAAACCTACAGAGCAGTATCTTAACACAACTCAAGCACCTTAATCAGAAATGTATGCTTTTTCTACAGCAATAAAAGCAAGTTAAACTAATTTTAAATTAAATTTAAATTTAATACATTTAATAAGGTGTGAGCAGAGTTGTACCTGTAGCTTCAGACTCATTACTACGGTCAATAATGGTTTTCAGCTGCTGGTAACACCAATTGAAAATTATTATTCAGTTAATGTATATGTAACTGATTCCACACAGAGCAGTCCAGTGGTGGAAGTTTCAAATCTATTTACAGATTTATTTTAGCCCTGTCTAGGTACAAAGGTGTCTCTTTACCTTAAGTGTGCATACAGGTCTCTCAGGACTCGGTCTTGGTTCTGCACCGTTTGGACAATGACTTTGACCATCTCAGAGCTGTCGCTGTAGCCATGTTGGGATTCTGCTGCAAGCCAGATAAAATACCCTGACATCTTTTCCAGTTACGGCCTTCTTTAGCCTCGTTAAACATAAGAACTGTAAACCTTGTTTCCAAACCCAAAAAAGTGCCAAAAAAAATCTCAAGATATTTTATTGAATAAAAGTGAAATAGTTAAATTCAGTTCTGTACAAACTGTATAGAAACAGACCACTGATTTAAGAAAGCCTCTCAGCATTTAAAATATCAAAACATACCTTTACATTTCAACTTAAGCTGCTTGTAGAGGTCAATTGCTTTCTCTTCACTGCAAAGACACAATCAAGACCTTCTTAGTGAACCAATGTTAATTTAGAATTTAAATAAAAATGTATATTTAAAAAAAAAACACATTTCTCTCCGATAGGAACTATATCAACAACAAAAATAAATCAATAAATGAGCAGAAAAGGCATTGAAAATGATGTTTTTAGAAACTTGGACAATCCAAGGCAGAAATACTCACAGCTGCTCCATGACATCTCCCTGACGCCTTGCATATGGGCTTCTCTGCAGCTCAACAATCTCAGAGTGCAGAGACATTATTTCTTCATCTAAATGGCTGATTTCCGCAACCTTTAAGAGATACACATGAACATGCAGCCTTATTTTTATTTGTACTGTAAAATGGTCGTATTTCAAGGTGACAGTAAACAATGACCTTGGGGAAAAAAAAACATTTTAAGGTCATGTATCCTACTCCTGGTTATTTAAACATGTTTTTTTTTATTTTCTTTTTTAAACAGGTATCTTTCATATAAACTATTTCCAGAAAATGTTTCTAACAGGACAAAAATAAGAATACTAATATAATATTCATATAAATAAAATAAAACAAATCCACCTTGTTTGGTCACTTTTATAAGGCAGAGCCTAAAGGCTACTCTCCTGAGATCAGGTGAGTAGCCGGCTGGCTTGCTGCTGGACAGCAGACAATTAACCACAAGTCTACATGAGGCAGTTGTGCCATGGAACTACAAAAGATAAAGCACAGTCTCAGTCAAGCTCCAGGAACAAAGCCCAAATTGGAGTTAAGAGTGTTGACACTGTATAAGCCAAAGAACAAAACAGCATCCACTGAAGAATCATTAAAACCCCAGCCTACTCATTTTCACAATGGAGATGACAGGGCATTAAAAGCATTGTCAGGAAATTGAGGTAAAAAAAGTTTCAGTGCAACCCGTGATGCCTTTTCCTAGACTGAGGCCATCTGAATAATCTTACGAAATGTCCGTCAGGCAGCTGTCCTGGTTTACACCATAACATCTATATTGTAATACTGCAGCTGCATAGTCATAAAAATAAGTACCAAGTCTAGAGTTGATTGACCCTGCAGTTCGTGCACATAAGCAGTCTGTGATTTAAAAGACATACAGGAATGGAAACACAATGGCGTCAGTAACAGTTAGCCATCTTGGTGTACGAAAGGATACTTTTACCATATAGTAAAATGGGTATAAAAAGTGTTAGTGCCCACATGAAATGAAAAGCAGAAAAAGGTTTCCAGGTGTTAAAATCTGCCCTGATTTATTGCAATGTGTGACACAGTTCCCAACACAGCAGCAGTACAATGTTTAACAAAATCGCATCGAGGCAGACATTAATTTTAGCTGCTACTCAGACAGACAGACCATTTTCACATGTTGCTCATAGCCTGCAGTTGTTTATCCAGGGAGTTACTTCAGCAAGGCATGGCCGTTTTGGAGCATGTTTCACAGAGCAGAAGATAACCCAAGGTGGGTGGTGTCAAAGGTGTCACTGCAGTACGTGAGCTGCCAAGTCTGAACCATGTCTGGGTGTGAGGAAACCTGACAAGTTTCAAACCAATCTGTGCAGCAGTTTGTGAGAGGGAGGCAGTCTGAGTTCTTATAACCAAATGTTAGTCAGGTTGACATTTAGGTTTATGCAGAAGCCCCATTTCATCAGATGTTAACTGTACCATATTGATACCTACCACATCAGAAGGTAACTTGCTAGACAGTCCTAGCTAAACAGCAACGGCAACTTTTTTTGGACAGGCTCATTTGTACTCTATTTAATGCAAACATGCAGTCAGGCTTGTTTCTTTATTTATTTTGTAAACATTACTTGGAAACCAGTATATTATTCGTATGAATAACAAAAGGGCATGGGTATGTTTTTAAAGGAGATTTTCCTTAATGAATTATTGTCACTGTTTAGTTTAAAGCTTTGTCCATTAAGGAGTATGCGCCTGTTGCAGTCGGTTTTAGTCATAATTTAAGATCAAACAGCACATTTCTTTCCAAATGGACCACAGGGCCAACTATTTCGTAAAACGAAATGTTAACCTCTTCGATCAAAGTCCTCAAGTACAGAACCACTCACTGGAAAAAGATTCATAAACATACATGCTTCCTTCATTGTATTCTTGCAATACAAATCCACAATATTTAAAAAAACTTGTGGAAGTATTCACAAACTTAACTTAGTTAAGAAATAAAACTCCCTACTTCCTGATGCAACTGGTTATTTGGCCTGAAGGAAATGTGCATGAATTTAAAAATAGAAGGAATCATCTTTCACTGGCAGTCTTTCAGACAGGCAGTCATTCCTAGAACATCTTAACTGAATGAAGTCACAAACACTGTCTTAAGTCCTCATCCGTATCACATGGGACTATAGAAGACTTCCCACTCCTTTCCAAACCAGGTTGGTTTTTGACTATTGTACTTGCATATTTCACTAATTGGAGACAATTTACATAATGAATTGCTCAGGCATGGAAAGGGGGCTAGGGCAGACACCTTAAGACTGTTGACACATACAGCAGGGAAAACATCCAGTAGCATTACATTTCAAAACCCTGAGCAAACCCAGTCAATGCAGGCCGCCTACAAACATCTCGAAAGTAAAAGCGATCTGTACCACACGGCGCATTCATGATACCTGTCCAAAGTTAGCTGCCTTCTCCTCATTCTCTTGCCAAGCTTTCAGCATCTTCTCAGAAGCTGTTTGAGAAAAATAAACAACTTACTCACTGACTGTAATATCGATACGAGTTAACACATTTGAAAAACATTCCTTTTAAGACAGTCACAGGAAAACGGATACAGCCTAGAGGTAGCAAAAAACCTAATGGTCACAATAACTTCGTACTTGTTGAACTATATTGAGTTATAAACGTCACTTTCAGAATTGTTTTACCATGCAAATCAGCACAACAACAGTCATTAACAGTACTACCTCTGCACCGAATGGTGACTCATCTAAATATGTGTTATTAAAACAGGTTGTACTATAAGCCCATGGAAAGCAAATTCTACTTACATATGCCATACTGCATCTGATCGCTGTATTTTTCCAAGTCATACTGGATACTGGTCTTGAAGAAATCTAGCTTAGCTTTTAACTGCTGAGAGACTGAAAACATCAGGTTTTTGTATCTTGTGAGGTTGGTATTGTACCGAAGGAGGCTCAGCCTAAAAGAATCAAAGAAAAACAAAATTAGACACACTGCTTTCCATCACATAAGAAAGTAAGAAGGGTTACAAACAAGGGGAAGCCATTTGGCCCATCTGGTCTGTTTGGTAGTTTGTAGCTTATGGATCCAGGATCTCGATTCAGCTGTTTCTTGAAAGAAGCCAGTGTACTGGGTTCAACAATATGGCTGGGCAGCTTGTAAGGTAAAGGTAAGTGTTTCCTGTTCTCAGTATTAAAAGTACTTTCACTTGTATTTACATGTTACGATACACTCACATGTACTGTTAATTTGTTTTTTATTAGTAAACATCAGAAAGGCCAAAGATGCCAGTTCTAGGAGCTGAAACTCCTATAACATTTCTCTGTAGCCCCAAAAGGCAGTACTCAATGTACTGGAAACAAAATGCCACACATATGAAACACCCATGAAACCCCCTACCTTTCTAGAAAGGAACAAGTAAGAATAACAAATGAAGCCCAACCTCCAAATAAAGTTTAAAAATGAAACATGCAATGATGTGTTATTAGGAGGAAGGAGGAAACCAAAAACTTGGGATGAACATGCAAACTCCACTAAAGAACTGAAAACTGAATTCTGGAATTGTATGTAATGCTAAACACGCCACCATCAATGTCAACCAAAGCATCTGCAGAACTGCGTCTCCCTCATTCAGCTCTAGCAAAACCCGTCTTTCATTAGTACCATATTAAATGACTCTTTCTTTGCTCTGATTTCCTTTGTCACCTCAGAAACAATTTAAAATGATGTAGGAGCACGTACATTGCTGCTCTCTGTCCCTGGAAAAGGCGGCTGTAGTCTTCCTTCAGTCCACAGATGTAACTCACTGCTTCACCCCAAACTTTCCTCAGTGAGCTGTTGGGCAACTGTGTTCTGGATTCCCGGACTAAAAACAGGACAAGGACATCATAAGAAAGGTGGCAAATGAAGGAGGCCATTTACCTCATCTGGTCACTTAGCAGCTAAAACTAAAATTTTATCCAGCTGTTTCTTAAAAGAACCCAAAGTTTGGGCCTCAACCACCTGGTTAAGAAGCCAGTTCTAGAAACCCATAACTGTATAAATGTTTCCTATTCTATAGTTTAGATAAATCATAACAATTTCCAATTGTGAACCCTCGTGCTTGTTTCACTACTGAATGTGAAAATCCCCTGGTTAGATCCCCTTTAAACCACAATCCCAAAGAACAATGAGAAGGGGTGAAAAAACGTTACAGAACTTAAAAAGTGGGAAACAGTCTCAGTACTCTTGGGAGTACAAGAGGCCCAGTAGAAATCTTCCAAGAAGTCAATCTTATTACATTAAAAACATTACCAAAACATACCTATAAAATTGACATTATCTGGTAGTTTTCTGGCCGCAAAAGGTCCCGAATATACAGTCATGCTTTTGTCAAACAGGTAAACTATGTAGCTGTCCCATCCTCTCTGGATCGTGAAAACAAAAGAGAACAAAATGCATTACAAACATCACCTTTTACAAAAATAAGGCAGTTTGAGCACCATACAAAATGTCATCACAAAATGCTGTAAAATGTCTCCTTACAAATCCATCCAGGACACACTGAGCTGCAGGCTTCCTGGGGTCCAGGGAGACCCCAGTTTCAAGCAGCAGCTCCTGGTTCAGATGCTCAATGCTAGTCTCCAATTCAATGCGCTGCTGAAGACAGTGGAGTCCCTCTTCTGGGCTCAGTTGAAACGAGTGGATTTTGGCAGAGGTCATGTTTAATATGTGCACAACCTAGACACAAAAACAGCCATTTAGAACCAAAGGAGTTTTTACATTATTTTCTAAAAAGAAGCAATATATAAGAAGTAACTAACACACCAATGTGAACTTGATTCTTGGTTCTTTTAGTATTGTTATTGACTGGAAGCAAACATTTCAGAAAGAATATCAAAAGCATTTCTGAAAATGGAAGAGCTAAAGCTTAAAAAGCATTTGGTTGTGTTTTAAGACTGAGATTTTAACTTGAAGGGGAAAGAGAAAGGAAAAGAAAAACTACTGAAAAATACCTTCATGTTTAAAATCATATCCAGAAGAACAAAGCACTGAGGCTGATTTGTGTCAGAGTGTACAGGCCCTCCTCTCTGCACAGGGTCCCATCGCAGCAACAGCTGTAACAAACTTTCAAGAGGCTCCAACATTGTCCTGCACAAAAAAACAACATCACAGAAAGAGTTACTACAATAATGTGTGAGATGGAGGTGGTGTAACCAAACCATAAGTCACACAACACCTAATATTAAATTCCCCAGATTTAATGAAATTTACAAAGTCACAACAGTAATTATGTAACAACGTCACATTGTGTCGGACATAGTGGGTATGGAGACACAAGTAGCATGTTTCACCTCATGCAAACATTTTTGGAGATTTCAGCTTTGGTCCCTTTACCCCAGGTCATGCAATTCTCCGTCTCATTTAACTCAGTGACAGAGATATTGTACCTCAAAGTAAAATTACTGACCTGCTGAGGTTATTAGGGTAAGGCAAGTGGGTGGAGAACTTGACTTCCCCATTCATTTCTTCAACAGCCATGATGTCCTTTGGGCCTTTGTTACGCACTTTTGTGGTCCTGAAAGAGGCGTTCAAAAAATGAAAAAAAGAAGAGATTAGTCAAAAGGCACACAGAGTACCTGTTGTATCTAAGAGAGTGCACCCCAATGAACAGATGAAATTACACTATTTGCTTTAGAAGAAACCTCACCAAACCCTAAATAAATTAACAACGGCCTCTCGCAACCCCTCTCCAGCCCTTTTCAGCCAAATATTAATTCACGGCTCACCTTTAACTGAAAAACTTACCATTGGATGGGCTGGAGATTATGCAGAAAAGGACGGAAACCACAGCTGCATTCAAAGATCATTGTGCCGAAGCTCCAGTAGTCCACTGTCACGGTGTACGGCTTGTTCTCAAACAGCTCGGGGGCCTGGAAAAGGAGCAAAGACTTTTCACAGTCTCGTACGGTCACGTGCAGTACACAGTACACTAATCCATAAGTATATTTGTCTCCCAAGCACGTCATAGCAACACACAACAAAAATCTCACATCACGGTAACCTTCTCTTTGTGCAACCCACAAAAATGGGTAAAACTCTTCACTTCCAAGGTCACAAGGTAACGCCCCTGGTGACACTCACCAGGTACTGCAGCGTTCCCACGAACGATGTGCAAAGACTCCCTTGATCCAGGTCCTTGGCATACCCCAGATCAATTATTTTGTGGACTAACTAGAGACAAAGGAAAAAAATGTTTAAAACACCAAAAAATTAGTAGTGAACAAGAATCACGTTATACTTTTTTTGAGAAACCAATGGGTAAAAGCCTAGATCTAGCAGTAAATCTAAAGAGCACCCAACAAAAAGCTCTTTGGTTGCTCTTGCTCTTTCAATAAATGAAGAAGACATCACCAGATAGCAAAGATCAACAGATTCTGAATAATAAACCACCATGAAGACTGCTGTCTTACCTTTCCATCAACATCCTGAAGAACTATGTTCTCTGGTTTAAGATCCCTGTGTATAATTTTATTTTCATGCAAATACTGGATGCCGGACCCTTTAAAAAAATTAAAAATTTAAGAGCACCATTTTTTTAAATACAGTTTATACATTTATTTTGCTAGAATACACATATATACACAATACAATACAAGTGCTGTGAAAAAGTCTTTGCAATCTTATATATAATCAGGAGTTCAACATGTGTGTTTCATAAGCATCAACAAGTTGTTCAAAACCCCCACTTGTGTCTGCTACATGTTCTAACAGTAACTGTGACTATCTAATCAAACTTAAATCTACTTTAGATTAGAAGAAAACAAACTAGTCTTTTAATTCCCAATGATCACAAAATCAAAAACATGAGAACACCAGCTTAGGGAAAACTTCACCACAAGTATCTTATATGAAATGCTGTACTAATTAATCCAGCGCATCTGCCAATAAAAACTAAATAATTCACCGTCAGGTGTCCCATTTGAAAACCATGCTACACAGAGCATGACAAAGATTCAGTGGGAAAGACCCAGCAGTAAATACAGGATCCTTTGTATTTCGTATATGTAAAACTAAGATTTATAGACAACATACCAACGTCACTGAGCAAGGAGAGCACTTCACTCTCTTTCAATCCACAGCAATTCTCTGGCTTGTTCAACATCTAGGAAAAAGGTTACATTACTAACTATACCTGCTTCATTAAAGAGCATGCATGTTGCACCTTAAATGTGCATCTAATCACCTCTTTTTCACTGTAATTCATGTAGAACTACGTTTCTCAATCAGACAGATATAATATCATTAGCAAATAACACATTTGAAGAAGCGATTTTTTAAACACTAAACTGAAAAGTGCTTCTACAAGTACCATTTCCCATGAGATATATTTTACAGTGCTGCATTTTCTACACAATGAATTAGGGAATTCTTAAGGGTCTCACCTTACGAAGATCTCCCTTGGAGCAATATTCCATTGCTAAGAGTGGGAGGTCATTAAAGGCTATGTTTGTCATTTCCTCTGGCACTTCCCGGGCTGTCACTACATTGGGATGATTAAGCCTGAAATAAAAATAGAACCAACTTGTAAATCATTGAGGAGTTGTGATCTAAAGCTTACACAGGCAGCCTCTACAAAACTCTTTCACGGCTATGGATTTCATCCCTGTATTTTCCAAGCGCTTCATTCAATAAATGGTCACGGAGGAGCTGAAGCCTATATCGGCAAGCGATTGAAAGGCAGAGTACACCCTTGAGGGGACGCAACTCCATCGCAGGCAGACGCAAACACAGACACACTCACACCAGGGACATTTTTCCCCAAAAGCCAAATAACCTTCAAGTATGTCCTTGGACTGTGGGAGGAAACCCATGTGAACACAGGGAGAACATTAATATAAATTCCACGCAGATAGCAACCTGGAAATTGAACCCGGGACCCTGGCTCAGCGAGGCCGCAGTGCTAACCAACTGTGCTGCCACCAGCTATGGAATCCCTGCCCCCACATGGCATGCATTTAACTGTGAGGCCGGAAAATTACGAACACATTAACCGGCAGAAAGATCACAAGTGTGATGCTGCAAATACTGAAACAAAGCTGAAAAAAGCATGCTAAATACTGTCCCTCAAAACCACATCCTTTAATGGTGCATGCAAATAAAAGGTACTGTTTGACACTATTAATCTACGTCCTAATGCAAACTTAAACAGGCCGTTCCCCTTTCTTGCAAGAAGCTGGGATATGCATAACATCGGAGCTAAACATTCTTTAGGGAAGTCACGGGAAAGCCACGCTTGCGACAGGATAATCAGAGGGAAGAAAAGAAGTGCTGAAAATGAAGGACAGCCATGAAGAGCTCTCCTGTCTTCCACAGAGTCTCAGACGTACTTCTTCATGATTTGTATTTCCCGGCACCATCTTTCTTTGTTCTTCTGAGTCAGCTCCAAGCGGCACGACTTGACAGCAATCTTCTCGGCTGTCTCCTTTTGAAAAGAAAAAAAGAACAGCAGACCGAGCGAAGTCACATTAAAAAAAGAAATACAATAAAACGTTATAACTTGTGTCAAGTAAAACCAAAAAAAAAAGACAAAACAGGAATAAATATCCCAAAATATCTACTTTGTTAATAACAAAGACAATCAGTCGCTGAGCCAGCGTGCTGATCACACGCCAAGCTTCAGGAACAGATGTGCACCCATCACCCAGCTGCAAATTAGAAACCTGGTGCTCTAGCTTACCAGAAGCTTCTCAGTTTTTCCCCAGAGGCGGGATATGAGGCACCAGTCAAGTGGAGAGCAAGCACCATGCAGACGGACAGTTTATCTCCACTGGTAGAGTACAGCTCAGCACCCCGGAGGATACAGCCCGCAGGCCGACAGAGGGAATCGCCATCACCCCCTGGGACTGGCGCCTGCATTTAGAAACTTCTTTTTTTGCAATGAAGTTGTTTATTGTCCCTCTGTATTGACACACAGCTACACTGTCGCTTTGGGGCGAATGCCTTTGTAAAAGCCCACGTTCAGCGTCCCGGAGCTGGGGAATATGGATGAGTGTCTTGAATTGTGAGGGCAAAGCTACAAAGCTTGAGGGACGCGTGCGAGCCCTTGGCGATCACCAGGTCCTTGATCATAGGCCACATAGCTCTCCAGCCACTGGCCTCTCTACCCCAAGCATTAGCGTTTCTAGAGCCGTCATCCCTGCTGCACTCACCAGATGCTGGTACAAATACACATGGCCGAATCCTCCCGTTCCCAGTTTCTCCTTCATCTCCCACAATCCGCACACCTGATTCTGCCTGAACGGCGGTTTCTCCATTCTCTGCTGTAAAAAGTTAATTTTCCTTAGATTATTTTTTTTAATGCGAGTGAGGTCCAATACACCAGACTGTGAGAACACTGAACAAAAATAATACACAAAGAAAATCATACAATGCTCAATCCAGAACATCTCAAAGCATCCCCTTTCTGTTGGAGCGAAATTTCAGACATTTCTCAAGCACTGAGCATCTGTCTGTGCTGTACATTGAGCTAAGAAATGGATTAAAAGCCCTTGTGTTCATGAATCGGGCCCAAAATAGCATCACTTTCGCAATGGTGCAGCTCATTTGTGGCCAGCACCAGGACAAGCTTGTACAGACTCTTTGTCATTTATCCCTGTTATTTTTGTACCTTGGATTGCACTGCTCAAGTATGCAGACTGTACTTATAGTTCCAATCTTACTGCACTTTGCTCTGACTATATTAACGCACTTGTTTTGACTGCACTTCTGCACGTAATGCACATTTGAAGGGTAGGTATTTTACAGCTGGGTGACGTAAAGTGCCATTGGATAACAGCAGCAGGGCCAGTAGCGCTTCTCCTGGGTGTCAACATTGCAGACCAGGGCCAGGTCCCGAACCGGGGCCCGTGCCGTCCTGGAAGCTCAGCTCGTGGATAAAGTGGAACACGGGAGCGCGGGACGCCGACGTCACGAAGCGCCGGGTCACGGGTTCACAAAAATGTTACCCCGACCTGCCACTGAAAAGCCCTGTGGAATCGACATGACCTTTAACCCAGCACGGTTCTCTCGAGACTTCAGACCGGCAACACGACGCTTTTCTGAGGGAAATGAAATCCGTAGTCTGGAGCGGAGGCTACTCGGAGTTGTTGCGTGTTTGTTTCTCCCGTGTCACAAACACGGAAAAGAACCGTTAACTAAAATACGTGAAGCCTTATATCCGCGTCTCGCTTGTTTTAAAGTGGCTGAAAAATAAACTTTGCCATATCCTCTCGCCGTCCTGAACTAAGAGCACCAGTTTCAAAACAGACCCGCCTGGGCCAGCTCGGCTCGGCCGGTCCAATGGCCACAGCCCCCGCGGTGGGGATTAGACTCCACACACGCCTCACTCACCTCTGTTATGTTCACACAATGAGATTTAGTCGGCAAGCAGCCTCCGGGCCAAGAGCTCTGACAGCGCGCAGTCACAGCGGCCCGCTCATGTCTCCCCTCGCAGCCGGATGCCAGACCCGAGGCCGCCGGCCTGCTGCATGTAAACAAGCCCGCTTCCCGTCCGTCAGCCGCTGTCGGTCTGCCCCATGCTCACGGGGGAACCGCTTTCTCGATACCGCGACAGGCGCTGAACAGGTTTAAACCCCCCCACCCCCCTTTTCTGCAATTTTGCCCCCTTTCCTCCCCGCTTCCCAGCAGTAATCTCTACCTCCCCTCCGCCCTTCAGATGCGGCGCTTTGGACTTTCCCAGAAGTGACGTCACCGCCGCCTCGGAGCAGCACGCGCTCCTGTACCTCCGGGTGCCCGCGCGCTGGTCTCGAGGTTGTCAGTTCCGATACCTGCGTGACGGTTTGGGCTCTGTATCCGACCAAAAACAAAACAGCGAATGGGAATATTCGCCATCCGTTACGCGTTTTCATGCAATTTTTAATTTTGAACGTAATTGCGAACCTTACACAATAATAAACACTGACTACTTTTTTTTAAGTTAAGATCACTTTATTGGCCATATACAATTTCTTGCATTGGGAATTCGTCTTTTCACATACCCCAGCTAGCTCTCCATGAGACATAAACACACAGAAAGGGAGAGAAGCCTGGGGTCAGAGCGCAGGGTCAGCCATTGTACAGCGCCCCTGGAGCAGTTGGGGTTAAGGGTCTTGCTCAGGGGATTCCTCTGCCGGCCGCGGAATATGAAACGGCAACGTTCCGGCCACAAGCACAGATCCTAAGCCACAGTGCCACCACTCTGCCCTAACGTACTTCATACGAAGTCTGAATTTTGTATGTAATTCTTCTATAAAGCAATGTAAATTGTAAGTTTTATTGCCAGCAGCCATATCACCCCGCAACCCATTGAAGCTCAGCAGGTGTGACCCTGGTCAGTACCTGGATGGGAGACCTCCTGGGAAAAACTAAGGTTGCTGCTGGAAGAGGTGTTAGTGGGGCCAGCAGAGGGCGCTCAACCTGTGGTCCACGTGGGTCCTAATGCCCCAGTATAGTGATGGGGACACTATACTGTAAACAGGCGCCGTTCTTCGGATGAGACGTAAAACCGAGGTTCTGACTCTCTGTGGTCATTAAAAATCCCAGGGCGTTTCTCGAAAAGAGTAGGGGTGTAACCCCGGTGTCCTGGCCAAATTTCCCATTGGCCTTTAACAATCATGGCCTCCTAATAATCCCCCTCTATGAACTATCACTCTGCTCTCCTCCCCACTGATAGCTGATATGTGATGAGTGTTCTGGTGTTCTATGGCTGTTTGCAAAAGGTGGGGCTTCATATTGGTGGTGGTGTAGGGGATCCCCATTACCTGTAAAGCGCTTTGAGTGGAGTGTCCAGAAGAGCACTATATAAGTGTAAGCAATTATTATTATTATTATTAATGTTCCTTTCACCAGAGAAACCCAAAGCATAAAAATAGAAAATAATGTAACACCTACATACAAAAGGGAAAAAAATAAATTTTGACTAGAAATACTTTTAAATTAACAGTTTTCAGCTGAGGTACAATAGAAGTCAAGGAGTTATGGTTTATTTAACTCAGTCCAATTGGCCCAACTAGCAAAGAGAGTCTGTAGATCTAGTGAGCATACGTACTAAGTATCTCTTGAAGATATACAGTACCTTAATCACCAAGAGCTTTATTTTTAATGTAGCCATTTTAAAATCAATTCTGTGATCCACAAGTGAAGAACTTTTACAATGCTAAAACATCTTGTCTAGTAACATTTTGAGCAAGGCAAGGTTGAATAAACAGATGTATTAGCATCTCCTGGCTTAATGTACCTAGCTAGATTATTTTGGAAGAACAATGCAGTTTTAATACCAGGATTTGAAAACACACAAAAAAAACTATTTTCATTGGCATAAAATGCATGTTAGGGCTGTATTTTCTAATTTTAACTTCTGTATAAAGCTGTATAAAGATCCAATAGAATTTCTCAGTGAAACAGATACGTGTCAGTTTGAAAGGGGTAGGCACACCGGTCAAAATCGTTTGTAGACCAGCCAATAAAGGTAGCTGGAGCTTTAACAGAGCCGTGTCCGTCGACTGTATCAAAGGGAACTGAGCTGATAGCGTTACCGAAACAAGACCTGAATGTTTTCCAGAACCTATTGCCTCAAGAATACCTTTTGCCCCAATAAGTGTGTCTCACAGTCGTGACTAAACAAAACCCAAAATGAAACCTCTATAACAAATTGTCACTGCTATGGTTACTGTACCGTGGTCATTTTAAGAAACCGAATTTTCTCTTACCTCTAGATGTCGCTATAGAAGTTACTTCGGGTTTACCTTAAGCACACGCCAACCTGAGAAAGCACGCAAACGTAATAGACGTTTCGTCCCAAGTTGCTCGTTTAGAGTAGCTAAGCGGTTCGATGATCCCTTACAGTCAGTTTATGACAGAGGCCAGGGTATCGGCTTCAAAGAGAATGGGTTGCTTGTTCCATTATATTAGGCTTTACAGCATAGTGGGAAGCTGTAGCGCGTCGTGCTTTTTATGTACTTTTGATTACAGTTCATGTTAATATTGCAACGAACGCTTTCCTTTCAGTCCTGGCGGCGGCGGCATTTAGGAAAGACAGGCTGGAGACGACTCACAGGCTCCCTGACAGTTTAATTGCCTTTTTCATTACAGCGTGGCCAGCTAGTCACGGAGGAGAGAGAGGCAGAGAGGAAGCAAACGTTATCTGGATTAACAGGGGAGTGGGAGAGGAGGGATTGCACATGGTTTTAATGAGGGAAAAGGCAGGAAATGTGAACCTGTGGTAAAGGCTGAGAGTTCGTGGGGACAGTCCAACAATGAAGTTAGACTTGGGAATCCTGGAGTTGGATTGACTGTCTTCCGAGCAGTGGGCAGCAGCAGGGATCTGGTCTGGAGAGGACAGGAGCACGCAGTGGCTGCTGGGATACAGCAACAAGGGAGGGCTTGCCTTCATCAGCTGGTCTGACTGTTGTGGTTCCAAGCGGGCTCTTGCCCTCGCCGTTCCACCCCGCTGGCTTGTCCCACAATGCCTGGGCGTGAACCCAGTGCCGGTGTCATCGCCCTCCCTACATGTAGCAGGGACCTCAGGCGCCTGAGTTGAGGGAGGTCTCCTTCAGCTCATTGGGCTGGTTCCCTTTTGCATTACGCCGGAGACCTCCCTCATCTCAGGCGCCTGAGGTCCCTGCTACATGTCGGGAGGGCGATGACACCGGCACTGGGACTATCGAGCTTCGGGTGGGCCTTCTTCCATAGAGGCAACTTTCTGTCGGAGCGCGCGTGGACACGGCGGCGCTGGCTTCTCCTGGCCTTCCCATCCGCCTGGCGACCAGCCAGCGTCCTCGGCTCACAGCCCTCACCTGGCCAGCAGAGGAATCATGGACTGTGACAAGAACAGGCATGACAACAGTACCCCGTGGCTCATGGTCTGGGGGGGGGGCTTCAGCTGATTCAGAGCAGCTGGGTTTTGGCACCCCTGCTGTGGTTTGCGGAGGGCACTTGCTTTGGCAGCAGGGTCCTGAGGCTCGTGGTGGGTGGGGTGGGGGGCTTGTCACCGGACAGACTCGCTAGGGTGGTGCTGGCTGGCGTCCTCTGTGGAGCCTTGGCAGAAAAGTCCCACAGCTCGTGGGGGTGGTGCTAAATGACCCCCTCTGTCTTCGATGGCAGGAGAGCGGTGCAAGAGCTCGACCTCCTCCGGGGCAGTGAGCGCAAGGGAGCCACCGTCAGCCTGCCAGCCCATCACTCCCCCAGCTCAGGCTGGACAGTGTTCGCGTTGCCGTGTTCCTGTGGCGGAGTATCCCACTCGTAACACCAATGCAAAGAACGCTCACTTCGGCGGCAGCAGCATTAGGAAGGACAGGGTGGAGATAACCTACAGGCTCACTGACAGTTTAATTGACCTTGTCATTACAGCAGAGGGGGGGTGCGTGTCACGGAGCAGGTCAAGCTAGGAAGACGGAGAGGAAGCAGGCATCCTCCTGACTCCAGAGGTGGGGAAAAGAGAGAGAACGGATTGTTTCCCAGCTTTGTAAAGGGAAACAGCAGGAAAGGATGAACTGCAGTGCCCTACCCACTGGGGCATCTGAATCCACACTGAACAAGCTCCAGTAGGTCCAGAATACGACAGCCAGAACTCTGACCAGGTCATGTGCAGGTGATCACAGTATGTCCGTCTTGCAGTCCTTTAAGCGCTTTGAGAAGCCTCCTTTAAAGGTGCTATATAAAATTAAGTTTATTATTATTACATTGACTTCCTATCCGGCTTCATGTCGACTTCAAAATCCCCGTGCTCGCCTACTGTATAAGGCTGGAAATGGCTTGGCACATCAATACCTATCTGTCTCATTATCTGTCTACTCCCCACCTCACAGCCTTCGCTTGTCCAATTCTGGACTCCTTCCTGTCCCCCCAGCCCACGCACACTCTGTGGGTGACAGGGCCTTCTGCTGCACCCCAGAGCTCTGGAATTCTCTCCCTAATGATATCAGAGAGCCACCTACCCTGAGTGAGTTTTTTACAAAGCCTTTTTCTTAATTAGTGTCTGTGCCCGACCCATTTTCTAATGACCTTGTGTCTTCTGCTGCTCTTCTAACTATTTGAGATTCTTATATGTTTATTCTGTAATTTACTATCCTTATTACTCTTTTTTACACCTACCATAAAGCACTTTGAGATGTTACTCTGAAAGACACAATAATAATAATCATTAATATTATTATATGAAAGGGGGAGGTCGTGTTGAAATCACTACAATATGAATGATACAATAAAAGATCATAAAAGACATTATTCTATATAGAATCTTTAAAAACAATAGTCTCAAGGCACTATTCAATTAAAGAAAATTACAAAGAAGATAAAAACACAAAATGGCTTTTCTGAAAAAGTTTAATTTTCGACATAAAATTTTAATTTTAAAAGCTTATTTTGATAAGATAAAAAAATGTGATCAGAACAATCTCTCCATCCGAACAGATGTTATGACAATCAAACTAAATACCGTACTGAAAAATCAACTTGGACCTTACCGTTGTACTTACCGCGAAAATGATTTTGTCTGCAAGGAAGCAAGAAACGCTCAGTACATCCACTAGAGGCCGCTGTACAACCACGAAAATAATGTCGTTGTGATTGACGAAAGGATTTTTGCTTCAACGAAATGTACTTTCTGTTTGGAATGCTCAGATGCAGGTAAAATGCTGGTATACAAAATAAAACATGCAACGTACTCAGTTTTCAGTTTGGGAAAATTGGTTGGAGTCGAGTTAA